CACTGCCTTCAGGGCCTTGGGCGGGGTGGGGTGGGGGTGGGGGTGTACGCAGAGGCTCTTGGCATCACTCCCATCTCCCCCAGAGGAATGGTAAAGGCTGGGCCTTGCTCCCAGCACAGCCCTAAGCAGAATGCTGCCCCCTCCCAGAGAGGGGCTGAGAGGCTTCCTTGCAGACAGCCGAGTTCCCGGCATTTCGCCGGGCCCCATCCCTAGGTGTGCCCCCCAACCCCCCAACTTCAGGCCAAGTCAGCCTTTCAGATTCTACTGCCGGCCTGGGTGAACTACAGGGAGTGACTACATCTTGGGAGGTACTTAAAGATGTTGGCCAGATATGGCTTTTCCATAGAGGGAGAGGGGAAAAGCACCCAATCCATAAACCCACTACCCAGGTCTCTATGTGCCTCTACTCCGGCACCTCAGTCACTCCCCTGTCCCCAAACGCCAGCTTCCCTTTTGGTCTCTTGTGCTTCTTCCCTCCCTGACCATCTCCGTTGACCTTTCAGAACACCTCGCAGGGGAGGGCGCTGGGCAGGAGAAAACTGAAAAACCTGCTTCTGTCTGAGGGGAGGGGAGGAAAGGGCCTTCCTCTTCCAGCTGCTTTTCAAAGCGAACTAACATTTTCAGATAAATTCATGTCACCAGTTACCTGTTTTCGAAACTTCTAGAAACCCCAAGATCTGCGGGAGAGCCTCTCGAGTTGGTGACAGGCCGCAGAGCAAAGAGGACACCTCAAAGGCATCTTCTGTCACGGAAAACTGACGATCCTTGCAGGACTGACAACAGCTCGTGCCAGGCTGGGAGTCTAGGACAGTGTGTTGTTCACTGGGGGGACCCTCTTCTCAAATAATCCGTGACCTCACCTATAAGAGCGTCAACAGATACTTAATTTGCTAACCTAATTTTGTAACATACATGTTTGCCTTTACCCATCATGGTGGCCATCTGTTAACACAATGAAGCCCTAATGGACCCGATTTTGAAACCGGGTGCTGGAGAGTCCCAGGCTTCCCTCACCTTGAGAGGCCAGCCCGCTCCTGTGTTTTGTTTTGCACAAACCCAAGGAAAAACCTCGAGATGCGCACGGATGATGCGGATCCGGAGGAAGAGCTGCAAACGGAAACCGGTTTCTTCTCCCCCCCAGCCCCAGGCATCTTCAGTTAAGACTCATCCAGGTTTTTGAAATTAACTGTCACGTTTATTTTCAAGGCGGAATTACTAACAACATCTAACAACTGTTCACATTCTCGAGCACAAAAACTGAAGTCAGAAGACAGCCCCTGGACACATCAAAGGGCTGAAACTCCACGCGACAGTATTACTGAGCACCACGTGAATACACTGACGTGCTATCATACAGCTGAACGTCACAGCGTTAACAAGAGCGTGTGAATTACAAAGGGAAACTTCTTCCAGAGCGTTACAGCACGGGGCATGCGCGGGACGCAATCTCTTCCACTTGCAACCTCTCTTATCAGCCACACTTATAAGAAGTTCGGCTATATGCAAATAGATGGCAGAAACAACTCACTGGAGACCTGTATGAAATCAAGTTCACTTAGGAACACAAGGTAATATTCTGATCGTCTCCTCTGTGACGGGCTTGGCTTACGACATTCAAGTTCCAGCTTTTTTTTTTATAGACATGAAAAAAATAGATTCGGTTTACATCTCTGAGCATGCCTTGGGCCTCCCGGGACACTTTTTGAGAACCACTGGTGTTGGGTATCCTGCCCCCTCCCCGTACACACACACACACACACAGGAAACATGGTATGCTAGTCTATTCGGAGAACAGAAATTAACAGCCAACTTTTTAAGAATTTTTTCCCTCTCTTATTATAACATGAGAAGTGTCTTCAGCCCCAAAGATGTGGAGAGTTTGGTAGTGCTGGATGGACTTGGGGCTGGGAAGCCAGAAGTGCTTGAGTCCTTCCCTACCAATCACCTTTCCTCCCCACAGGCTTCCTGAGAGCATCTGACCCCAAATGGGAGTCCAAGTACCATTTTTATTCACAGAACCTAAACCTCAAACACTTCAAAGCCTAAGCGCACACTCTTGTCCCCCAGAACTAACTCTTGGGGCCTTCCTGCCCTCTGGCTAGTTAACTGGAGGATGGAAGCTGAAGAGCAGGAGGTGCAAGGCAGGCAGGTCTGCTTTGAAGATCTATGCTTAACTTCCTAGTAGGTGAAACAGAGAAGGTGGGAGAAAGGCCCTGCATGTAGAGGTCAGCTCACTCTCCAGGAAGCAGGGAATAAGGATGAAAGGCAGAACATGAACAGGCACCCTGCCCATGTACGGAAAAGTGAATATTCTAGGATTTTCCCAGTCTGCTTAGCGATTCTCCAACCTCTGAAGGTGAGTCGAGGGGGAGGGGCAAAAGCAGGCCTGGCAGAGAAAAGAGCAGAGGTGCACCTCCCTCCCTTAACCTCTCCCACCTAAGAGCTCACGCATGGTTTTCCTCTGAGAGGCCCATCTCTCCAAACTGGGTCCCTAAGAGTCCAAAGTCATGGTTCATTCCTTAAGGAAAAAAACTTTGTTCCCCATTTGATACTTCGTCCTTGGTCTTCTTTCAACTCATAGGGTATGGGTGGTCCCCCGAATCAAAGCTTTCTGGGTTCTGTGGATAAATTAGAAGAGCTCACCAGGGAAGGAGATGTCATTTGGAATTTCTTTCTTACTTCCTTGGACCTTTTAAGTGTTTGAACATTTCTATCCCGCAACCAGGCTTCCAGAAAACTCCACCCTCAAAGCCATCGACCCTGACAAATGTTCTCACTCCCAACTATTCGATTCTTAACAAGGGAGCTAGGTCGGATGGAGTAGCGGAACGACTGGAGACTACCACAGCGACACTCAAGCAACAAAGGAGAGGTGAGGGGTTTGCTTTGCCACCTCCTGCCCATAGGTGTCCCCAAGGTTGGCCTTCAGGGGCTCCTAGGAGGGAGGTCAGGGCTCCCGCCCTCTAAAACCTCAACTGGTGTGTCATCCGCCTCCTCCACGGCACTGGGGTCCTCCTCGCACACCACCTGACCTGCCACGCCCCCTAGTGCCTCTGCACCCACCTGCCGCTCCTGCTCGGGTTCCCCACTCATCCACTTGCCCTTGCCGGCACAACCCAAATGACTTCTGTTGTCATTCTGACCACTGGAGGCATGAGGAGAGCCTTTCGGCTTGGCCTTTGGGCCCCGAGACGTCGAGGCTGGCAACCCCACGGGCTGGGGGCCTCGAAGGGCCTTCTGAGCTGAGCCATCTCTTCTTGAGCCCGGCCCTTTCTTCCCCATCACCGGCTTCTTCTTGGCATCTTCTGAATCGACAAGGACGTACGAAACAGGGCCCAAGCTCACCTTCTTCTTCTTTCTCACAGGGGCAGGGCTCTTTGCCAAGGCCCAGCCCATGGCCTTCTTCTTTGGGGGGCCCTCCTGACCGCCATCTTGGTCTGACTGTGAAGCGACCCCAGGGCTCACAGCTTCTGACCGGGCATCATGGGATGGGCTGCTGCGAGCCTTCCAGGCACATTTCGCCACAGGCTTTTTCAAAGCCGACTCCTCCTGCTTCACACAGGGCTTTCTGTTGCTCCTGACGGATTCTGACACCTCCATATTTTCAGCACCATCAGCCTCAGGAACCTCCAAGGAGGCTGAGCTGTTGGAATGGTGGCCTTTGGGCTTCTTCCAGAGCACTGATTCCTGCTTAGTGTTTTTTTTCTGCTTCTTTCTCCTGGAGCGACTTTTAGCTCCAACCCGGCGAACCACAGGTTTGGGAGGGTCACCTTTGTCTTCCAGATCATTCCAGGTGTCGGGATTCTCCATCTTCAAAGCAGAACCTAGTTCTGCAGCCCGCCCTGGCTCCTTCTTGACCTTCCTCCATGCTGCTAAAGCTGAGATTGCTACTGCCTGGGCATCAGCCACTTCTTGAGCCCTAGCTTCCTCGCGGCCGCGGATCTCGGCATCCATGTAGAAGATGATTTGCACCACTGCCCCCAGGAGCACCCCCAAAGCTTCTGCCCAGTTCTCTGGGGGCTGATTCTGGGGCCGTGGGGGGTGGCTAAACTGGAGCAGGCGGACCACATCCTCCCAGGTACGCCCCTCGGCATCCAGGAATTCATTCAGGTTTTTCAGAAACTCAGTATCCTGGGTGGGGTCTCTACAAACCACTCTCCAGACGCCCCCCCTTCCTGGGAATTCCCGGGGTATGGCCCTGAGATTCACACCCTCTCCGACCTCAATGAGGGCAGCTTTGGCATTCTCTTCCCTCAGAAAAATCTTATTGAGCACGAAGTATGGGCCCAGCGGGGAGAGGACCCCATTCAAAGTCTCCTCAATTTCTGCTTGACCACAGTCCTCTGGGATGCCCGTGACCAACAGGGACCTGTGGATGTCCACTTCCATCCCCCGGCACCAGTCCTCCAGAAGGTTCATGGCCATGGTCGCGGACACCTGGCGGCTCTAATCCCACGTGCACTCAACAGTCTGTAAGATGGACGGTCCCCAGATATTAATCCTGTAAGGTGACAGGATAGGGAGGTCAGATTCCCCGGAAGACGGCCAGGCTCAGAGATCTCAGCTGCCCCCTGCGCGGCGGGCCTACAGGCGGCCTCGCGCTTCCCCAGGCCCCTCCTCCCCCAACCGGGCCCCGGGTGCTCACACGTGTCCTGCGACCCGCCGAGAACCGCGCTCGGCCCTGCCCCGGGCCCGGCCGGCGGCCGCCCAGCAGGGATC